CACACTGGGGGAACTATGAGAAGAACCGACGATGGAATTGATCCCCTGGAAGTAGCTGACGGCGGGAAGAATTTGCAAGACCAGATATACAAGAATTCCTTTTTTTCTTCGGTACTGAAATTTTATGTCCCTGGGTGAAGAACTGCAAAGAAGCAGTGGGCAGAAGCTGAAGGATGTTTTGGCCATTATGCAGTAGCCGGTCAGATCAGTAATGTTTGAAGTAAAGGTCATGGAGCCTGCTGCATTTAAATTTGACTACATTGCAACACAAGCTGGGCAAAGCAGCGCTGGCATGCCAGAAAATGGTTGCCGGACCAGGAGGAGGGAGGAAGCAGAATCCTTTTCAAAGAAGCTCATGAAAGTGACCACAGTGTTGCGTGGCAGCCCCACGCAACACTACACGCTACACTACACGCAACACTACCGTTCTGTTGGCAGGGGCAGCATTTTGGAGCTTTGATGCTTTTAAGGAATGAAATGAAAATACAAGACGACTTTTCTGTCCTGACCCGGGGCAGCATTTCGGCAGTGTTGCGTGTAGTGTAGCGTGTAGTGTTGCGTGTAGTGTAGCGTGGGTGTTGCGGGTGGTTTGCAGTGTTGCGTGCGGCGGCTGCCATGTAGCTTATTTGGCCTCGTGCTCAGCTGTGTGCAGGTGAAGGGTGAAGCACACTGGGGGAACTATGAGAAGAACCGACGATGGAATTGATCCCCTGGAAGTAGCTGACGGCGGGAAGAAATTTGCAAGACCAAATATACAAGAATACCTTTCTTTTCTTCGTAGGTATCAATGATAACAATGTCAAGCACTACAACTTTGCACGCTAGATGCATGGTCGCAGGTTGAACCTGGAAAGGTTTCTAGGAAGTCATGTAAATATGAAACATGTAGTCCCAGTTTCATCTTGAAAATTTGGGCATATAGCATCTACATCGTCAACAGCGCAGGCGCAGGTTATGTACAAAAGGAATCTGGTTCACCCACTGTTTTCTGAGAAAAAAGGGCTCACATGCTGATAATGCGTCATACCCTGTGCAAGCACATGTCCAACGTGTTTCTTCATCTAAAACCAGTTCACACACACAGATCTCGCGAAATACAATGGACGTAATTGCTAAATTTCATAAACCCTGGCCCCTGTAGGAAAGAAAAAACAAAAAAGCGTTATATATCTGCAGGTACCTGTCATAAGATTTAAAACACTTAAAACGACTTAAACACAAACGGGTCTTAGTATAATCGAGTATGCAAATAGTAGATGCAACATATCTAGTAAATACAGGTGCGTATACACATCTATCATCAACTACCTATCAAATCATGTTCATGACATCATGTCAAGTTCATGCTGGAACTTCACAAGCTTTCCTAGTCTTCCATGACCGTTCTCCCATGACAGGAGGACTGTTTTCAATGACAACAGCTTAATTTTGAAATCCTTTTTCAAAAGTGTTTCACCAATTATAATGCCAAAAAAAATATAGTTCCTTTTTTTTTGGAACTATAATTTTGAAGTCCTTTTTCAAAAGTGCGTCACCAAATATAATGCCAAAAAAAAATATAGTTCCTTTTTTTTTGGAACTATAATTTTGAAATCCTTTTTCAAAAGTGTTTCACCAAATATAATGCCGAAAAAAATATAGTTCCTTTTTTTTTGGAACTATAATTTTGAAATCCTTTTTCAAAAGTGCGTCACCAAATATAATGCCAAAAAAAAATATAGTTCCTTTTTCTTGGAACTATAATTTTGAAATCCTTTTTCAAAAGTGTTTCACCAATTATAATGCCAAAAAAAAATATAGTTCCTTTTTTTTTGGAACTATAATTTTGAAATCCTTTTTCAAAAGTGTTTCACCAAATATAAAGCAAAAAAATATAGTTCCTTTTTTTTGGGAACTATAATCTTGAAATCCTTTTTCAAAAGTGTTTCACCAAATATAATGCCGAAAAAAAAATATAGTTCCTTTTTTTTTGGAACTATAATTTTGAAATCCTTTTTCAAAAGTGGTTCAACAAATATAATGCCAAAAAAAATATAGTTCCTTTTTTTTTGGAACTATAATTTCGAAATCCTTGTTCAAAAGTGTTTCACCAAATATAATGCCAAAAAAAATATAGTTCCTTTTTTTTGGAACTATAATTTCGAAATCCTTGTTCAAAAGTGTTTCACAAAATATAATGCCAAAAAAAAAATATAGTTCCTTTTTTTTGGAACTATAATTTTGAAATCATTTTTCAAAAGTGGTTCACCACATATAATGCCAAAAAAAATATCGTTCCTTTTTTTTTGGAACTATAATCTTGAAATCCTTTTTCAAAAGTGTTTCACAAAATATAATGCCAAAAAAAAATATAGTTCCATATAGTTCCTTGTTTTTGGAACTATAATTTTGAAATCCTTTTTCAAAAGTCGTTCAACAAATATAATGCCAAAAAAAATATAGTTCCTTTTTTCTTGGAACTATAATTTATAATTATTTTTTCTTAAAATGTTGCTAATACATAGACCTGGATCAATTAGCGCTAATACTAAACAAGGTTTTTTTCAGCAAAATTGGATCCAAAACAGTGACTATGTATTAGCAACATTTTAAGAAAAAAGAATTATAAATTATAGTTCCAAAAAAAAGGAACTATATTTTTTTTGGCATTATATTTGTTGAACGACTTTTGAAAAAGGATCTCAAAATTATAGTTCCAAAAAAAAGGAACTATATGGAACTATATTTTTTTTTGACATTATATTTGGTGAAACACTTTTGAAAAAGGATTTCAAAATTATAGTTCCAAAAAAAAGGAACTACATTTTTTTTTGGCATTATATTTGGTGACGCACTTTTGAAAAAGGATTTCAAAATTATAGTTCCAAAAAAAAAAGGAACTATATTTTTTTTTCGGCATTATATTTGGTGAAACACTTTTGAAAAAGGATTTCAAAATTATAGTTCCAAAAAAAAAGGAACTATATTTTTTTTTTGGCATTATATTTGGTGAAACACTTTTGGAAAAGGATTTCAAAATTATAGTTCCAAAAAAAAAGGAACTATATTTTTTTTTGGCATTATAATTGGTGAAACACTTTTGAAAAAGGATTTCAAAATTATAGTTCCAAAAAAAAAAGGAACTATATTTTTTTTTGGCATTATATTTGGTGACGCACTTTTGAAAAAGGATTTCAAAATTATAGTTCCAAAAAAAAAGGAACTATATTTTTTTCGGCATTATATTTGGTGAAACACTTTTGAAAAAGGATTTCAAAATTATAGTTTCAAAAAAAAAGGAACTATATTTTTTTTTGGCATTATATTTGGTGACGCACTTTTGAAAAAGGACTTCAAAATTATAGTTCCAAAAAAAAAGGAACTATATTTTTTTTTGGCATTATATTGGGTGAGACACTTTGAAAAAGGATTTCAAGATTATAGTTCCAAAAAAAAGGAACTATATTTTTTTTGGCATTATATTTGGTGAAACACTTTTGGAAAAGGATTTCAAAATTATAGTTCCAAAAAAAAAGGAACTATATTTTTTTTTGGCATTATATTTTGTGAAACACTTTTGAAAAAGGATGTCAAAATTATAGTTCCAAAAAAAAAGGAACTATATTTTTTTTGGCATTATATTTGGTGAAACACTTTTGAAAAAGGATTTCAAAATTATAGATAGTTCCAAAAAAAAAGGAACTATATTTTTTTGGCATTATATTTGGTGAAACACTTTTTGAAAAAGGATTTCAAAATTATATTTCCAAAAAAAAGGAACTATATTTTTTTTTGGCATTATATTTGGCGAAACACTTTCGAAAAAGGATTTCAAAATTATAGTTCCAAAAAAAGGAACTATATTTTTTTTTGGCATTCACATCAGAAAGAGAGTCAAAGTTCAACTTCTTGGTACAAAGTAAAAAACATACTACATATACATATTGTCTTACATCGAACCTGACACCATCTTGTGGATTTTCATGGGGGTGCCTGACGGTGCCTGCGCCAACTCATGGCTCAGAACAGTTTTCACATTTGCTCCCATGTTTGCTATTTCGTTTTTGGACCACCAGCTGCAAGATCCCAAAACAAGCTTGCGACATAGGTTAGTGGCTTTGCCCGTATGCAAAGAACATGGTTCCACTGCATGCTGACTCAACAGCTGCAGTGGTTTGCCCATATACAAACGGATAAATGTTTCCACTGCATGCTGAATCAATAGTTGCTATCTCAGCCTTCATTGCGCATTAACAAGCCTTGCCCAGAAATATAACCCTTTTTTAAAAGTTTCCACCTGGAATTACGCAATTTAGCAGACGTAATGCGCAGGAATTGCCAAAATCAAGCGAGCAAGTGGTTGAAATATTTGATACAACCGGCGATAATTGTGACGGAAAAAAGCAATCAACTTTTCTTTCTTTGAATAAGTGTAGCGTAAATTCCCCTCCTCTAGATGCAAATTGGAACCGAAAATCCAAACGTACAGCGGGACTGGGGAAGAACCCCGCGGAGCGGCTTCCTACAAAGGGGAGACATATAGGAAGGGGTTTCAAAAGCCACATAGACAGGAAACATGTTTTTCCGCACCCCTAGCTCCAGACAAGAGGGGTTCATCTCCGGACAGGGCGGGGGATCAAAAAGATAATAAACCATTTGTTCCTGGATTGTCCGGCGAATTTATCCCCCCTGCCTGGAGACGGAATATATTGATGCACAGAAACATCAAAGAACCCCGAATTGAGATTCACTACGTTTGTCCAAGTTGTGACTTTAGCAACATGAGAGCTCATGGGCTGTCAAAAAAAAACTGCTGTTGTTTCAAGCCCATTGATCGAACACAATTCAAGTTGAATGCTGCCAGCACAGGAAAGAAACACCCACTTAACGTCACTTCTCTTTTCCTTTTTTGAGCACATACACAGTGCCGATTTGCATCTTCCCAAGGTCACACGCGCTTGGCTCTTGAAACAATCAAGGCCCATTCGATGACTGCATTGGAAGGCCATATAGCGGTCATTTCAAAGCACACCAATCATATGGGGCAGCTGCATGACGACGACCTTGCAACAACACGGCAAACAGTGCGGTGTCATCATCAAAAGAACATGTTTTTATTTGCCTGTGCGTCGGCACGATTTTGGGTCTTTGGTGGAGAGCAGGGGTTGCGTTTTGCTTGCAAATGCGATGATCCATGAATTTCGTGTCGCCGTGTTACTTTTTTTGTTCCTGCGACATGACATGATACGACCAGGAAGAGATTTCAAATTGAAGGATATTTCCATCGTCATGTCATTGTCCCTTCATTGTCAAAGTTGTCAAAAATATCGTCGTCGTGTGGTCGTCACATTGCCACCAAATTGGCGGCCACTGTGGCAGTTGTGGCGGCCACTGTGGCGGCAATGTGGTGGCAATGTGGCGGCAATGTGGCGGCAATGTGGCGGCCATGTGGCGGCAATGTGGCGGCGATGTGGCGGCGATGTGGCGGCGATGTGGCGGCGATGTGGCGGCGATGTGGCGGCCATGTGGTGGCAATGCGGCGGCGATGTGGCGGCCATGTGGCGGCGATGTGATGGCGATGTGGTGGCAATGTGGCGACAATGTGGTGACGCTGTGTTGACAAAGTCGCGACAACTTAGTTATAGGAAGACGATGATTGCGTGCATCATTGAGACAAAGCAGAAGAGTTGCGGTCTTGAAAACTTTACCCCGCAGAAAAATATTTACATTGCAAATTTGGAAAGCCGGTCCTTCTTACCCCGAACCAGAAAGCCCAGCAAATTCACCGTCATGTCCATTCCCAAACTTTGGATGCACCTGGGTGTTTTCAGATGACACTTGCATATTGTTCAGCGTTGCCTCTTCTAGTTCTGGCGTGGCCCAAACATTAGACAGTGTGACTCTATCTGTTTGCGTGTGTTTTGCAATGTTTCTTGCTGTGATGCTATGACTGTTTGATTGATTGTTTTGGGTATTTTCGATGATTATTTTGTGTTCAGCTTTTGGCTTGCATGCTTTGCACTTTACCACTGGTTTTTGCACACTTTGCATATGGTGTTGCATCATTGAAATGCAGGCGACGTTTCTTTTTACTAAAGCATGCCACCGTACAGTGCCTGCAAGTCAGATACTCTCAAGTCAGACATGCTTGAGTACACGGAGCAGCCTTTAACGCCAAAGGTTGGTGAAATTGAATTCAAAGGTGTACAAAAACTTCTTTGTGCTTACTGTTAAACTGCCTGTGGGTCTGCTGGAACTATGCGCCAGCTGAATGATGATTGTGACACGTTGGATCCCTTCTAAACGCACTTAGTTTGGAACAGATTCTTGCCCATAGACACATTGTCTTCATCGAATTTGTGAAGACATAGTACGTAGGCTTGCGTATTGACAACGAGCAGCTACAGCAACCTGAATCTGTCTGTCCCGCTCTAATCCTACATGATGTTTTTTTCGATCACCAGTTTTTGCATAATATGCATGGACTTGACAACATGATCCACGTGTATATCAATTCCAGTTTTTGCACGTGTCAATCACAGGTCCTGTATCTCCTTTATCTTCACCTCCCCTTTGCAAACACGCACGTTGTGAAATACCATGAGTCCAGCGTGCATCCTAGCCATGTTTGAAACGTGCGCATCAAACTAGATGCTGCAATCAATGTCAAATCCGCGATGTTCAAAACCCTCTGTTGTTTGAAGATTGCGGGCGGCTTTACCAGCCAGTGTATTGGGGACTATCAGGGCGCCCCTATCAAGCAACCAGCATACTGCAACCAGATGGGCCTTGAACACCGCTGATGTGAATCGTCTACATGAATCGATGTTTGGCACATTTTGGTACCCTGTATGGTAAACAACCGCTATTTTTTCTAACAGGATGTCTGCAATGAGAAAGGAAGACACGCTAGATAGGTTTCTATTATAGTTCCGGGTGCGTTAAACCCCTGTTAACCTTTTCGGGCCAACTGTAAGGAATCATTGCCAGCCTGTGAATCACTGGCAAATAAGCTCAGTCACCATCTTCATGATGTGCCCTAAAGCAAGTTTCTTGTCAGCAACATGTGCAAAACGGGTGACCGGTTGGGAACACCAATCAACAAAGTGGTAGGTTTAATTAGGTGTTTATACATGTTATTTTTCCTAAGAGAAAGTACCAAGACTAAGGTCACCAAACGGGCGCGCTATTGAATATGGTTGGGATTTTGCTTCAAAATGAGTATTGCGCTGTTCTACTCAGATATTATTCCCCAAGCCCAGCTCTAATTATGAAAATTTACTCGGTCCGGTAATAAACATATTTTCTGTATAGGCACCGCATGCTGACCCATGACAAGGTGATATTTCGTAGGTGAAGCTTGGGCAGAGGTGCTACGTCAAGAACTGTTAAGCCAGACATGCTCGAATACACAGTCAAGCCTTTCACACCAAAGGTTGATGAGCTTGAATGCCAAAACTTGCAAGGACCCCATCGTTTTTGCGTTCTCCTTGTGTTCAATTTGTTTGAATTTTGCGCCGGCTAAAAATCAATGATATTGATATCAATGTCAAGTACTACAACTTGGCACACTAGATGCATGGTCGCAGGTTGAATCTGGAAGGGTTTCTAGGAAGTCTTGTTTAAAAACAATAAAACATGTAGCCACAATGTTCATCCAAAACTGCGAGGAATGCTTTTTAGCACATGGCACCTACTTTGTCAACAGCGCGTGGGTTATGTAATGCTGTACCACATTCAGAAAAGGTAGCTCACTCACTCTTTGCGGAATAAAATTCATGGACTCACATGCTGATAATGCATCATATCCAATATGCTTGCACATGTCCCACGCGTTCTTTCTCTAACCCCAATACACACACAGACACTGTGAAATTCCATATTGACGCAATGTGCAGGAATTACCAAATCAATATTCAGCGTATTTGAAAAATTTGATACAATCGGCGATCATATTGAAGGAAGGAAAGCCAACCAACTTTTCTTCCTAAACACATGATGGTCTCAAACCCCCCCAGGGGGTTCTAGCCTGAGATTTTATAGGTATAAAATGGGGGTATGGACCCCCCTGGGGACTATATTTTGGGGTGGTGACCCTCAAACATAAACATTTAGTGGGGGGTGTATCCCCTCAACTTGGGGTACCATGAAACGAGATGGCTCCTATAAAATCAGCAGCACTGAGGCTATCCTCAGAGCACCATAAAATGCCAGAAGTAGGCTTCATGAACTTGGATGCCACAGGGAACAAAAAGCTGCCATACATATTTCGTGGATAAAGATAAATTTACATAAATTTTGTTTTTTTTCACATAGCCAAAAAAATGCAACAAAACTACACCAAAATCTTTACATCTTTACCAGCACGTCATATGTCTCGAACAAAAGACGCTGCCTTCTTTTTCCCTTCTTCAGATCCCAAGGGCTTCGCATCGCTTCTGTTTGCTTCCCTATGCCTTTGGCTTTGAGAAGTTGGAAATTTTGCAAATGCCAAGGATAGTCCTTGACCATGCAGCCCTCGAAGATTTGAGGAGCTGCCCTTGCATCAAATCGAAATGGGCGTGGACTTGTGACCCCCACATTTTGCCACGCGCAGGAAATTCTGCGTTGAAAAAAGATGGCGCCGAATCCAGCACCTGCGCCCACGTGCGATGTTGCGCAGCTTCATGCCTTTGGAGCTGGGATGTGGTACAAGAAAATGAAAAAATAGCAAAACATGATAATCAAGAGTTCGGATTTTTTTGGAACTGAATTGTCTTGCATTTTAAAACCGCAAGACCAAGAGCATCAGTGCCAAATAGCACATATTTGGGCCCCATCATGAGCAAACAAATATACGTCCAAATATGAGCAAACAAATATATGTCCAAATATGTAAAAATATTGCGAAATATATCGAAATATTATCTGAATAATTTGGGTAGGTTCGTGTAGATTTTGATTTAATATCTGTATCTGAAAGGATTGGGAATTCAATGGATTTCATCTGCCTTCTCGTCCCAGCCAAAAAAATACGACAACAAAAAACAAATGATGAACTACAGCCGAAGATCTTGAGACGACAAAGCCCCGTGTCCACATCGAACATGGGCTTGGAGGGAAATGCAACTTTGTCCATTGCGAGCATTCGACACATGGACTTTCGAATCTGCTTCTCTCCCTTGGCAGACCTCGAGTAGGAAACCGGACCAGGAAGGTCCTGATCATCACCCTGGTTCTGTTCCTGGTCTGCCACACTGGGTGGAAGTTTCGTCTTGTCTTTCTTGCTCTTGGTCTTCTTTGACTTTGCTTTTGTTGCGCCAGATTTCTGGCCATCTGCCTTCTTTTTGTTCTGCTTCTACTTGACAGCTTCAGCCACATATTTGAAGGTGCGCTTTCTGCGCTGATTGGTTCTGCCAACTTTCTTCCGGATGTCAAATCCCGACTGCCATTTGGAGGCAACCTTTTGGCCAGCTTGACGCACAGCTTCCACTGACTCTGGAGTGAAGGTCACGTGGAAAGTGTCCACATTGGCATTTTGCCTCGTGCTCAGCTGTGTGCAGGTGAAGGGTGAAGCACACTGGGGGAACTATGAGAAGAACCGACGATGGAATTGATCCCCTGGAAGTAGCTGACGGCGGGAAGAAAGTTGCAAGACCAAATATACAAGAATTCCTTTTTTTCTTCGGTACTGAAATTTTATGTCCCTGGGTGAAGAACTGCAAAGAAGCAGTGGGCAGAAGCTGAAGGATGTTTTGGCCATTATGCAGTAGCCGGTCAGATCAGTAATGTTTGAATTAAAGGTCATGGAGCCTGCTGCATTTAAATTTGACTATATTGCAACACAAGCTGGGCAAAGCAGCGCTGGCATGCCAGAAAATGGTCGCCGGACCAGGAGGAGGGAGGAAGCAGAATCCTTTTCAAAGAAGCTCATGAAAGTGACCCAGTGTTGCGTGGCAGCCCCACGCAACACTACACGCTACACTACACGCAACACTACACGCTACACTGCACGCTACACTGCACGCAACACTACCGAACTGCTGGCAGGGGCAGCATTTTGGAGCTTTGAGGCTTTTAAGGAACGAAACGAAAATACA